ATGTCTATTTCTCCCCCTCTCTGGCCTCCTCCAGACCTCCCATGGCTCTCTCTCTGTCTCTCTGCCCGGAGTGAGCACAGCACAGGTGACACAAGGCGGCATGACTAGCATGCCGCACATCCATCAGGCTGTGAGAACCAGCAGGAGAGAGCAAACTGAGCTAAATTTGGGAAGTTATTACTCAGTACAACCAGACTGCTCAAAGTTATGCAAGAATCTGCAGGCTTATGTATTTTAGAAGCATGGTGTGATTACTTATTTCCTGTTAGCATTGTCTCCCTTAGACATCTTGTAGAGGCTTCGTGTATTACCAATATCTTAATTTTTCAGCTAAGGTGGTTACTTCTCTTTCTTGTCAATATATATTATATCTGCATGCTAATGTCTAAAATACACTGTTAATGGCCTATCCTGGTCGAGTGGGAGTAATGTGGAGGGTAATATCTCCTCTTTGACATTTGCCCTCTGCATTTCTGACCTTATCCACCTCGCTGCGGTTCTCTGCCGTAGGCCCTGTAGTTCTGTCTGATGTCCGCTCACGCAAACACCACTGCACTCCGCACACACGAGCATGCACACGAGCACAAACACGCACACACATACAGATTTGCTGCAATTAGAGTCATATGGTGTAAGCTTACTGCCTCCCACGATTCTAACCAATAAGGTCATTTTGCAGATGAAGAAAACAAATACTTTCATTTCTGCAAGTTGCCCATTTTTCGAATGTACTCTGCAACCCTGTCTTTTCCTTGAACCAAACAGTAAATTGAGTCTGTTGTTATACTGTTGTATTCACAGTGTCCTCATCTGTTTCTATCTGAATAGCTGTTCATAGCTCTTCAGAACCCTAGCCTTTTATTTCCTATTTGTATGAGAAATGAAACAGGTTTATGCAAAAGTCATGAATGTTGTTTTAGATGATGGAATAGATCTAGTGTTTATAAAGATTATTTCTAAAATGAGTTGAACAATAAGTTACTGCAACACATATTTATAAAAGTAAAAAGTATTTTTACATATTTGTGGTCCTCATTCTGCAAAATCTTTTACACATTTGGCTGCTGTTTGCCTACAAAGATGTTTGTTTGTCTTGGCTACATAATTGAATACCATTAATGTAGCAAGTACTGCCTCATAGCCAAGAAGTGGTTTGATCTTTGTTTAAAGTGTGTCAGCTTTTTAGCCCTATTAGTAGTTTGTTCTTCTTTGGGGTTTGTGCAAAGCACTAGGGAGACAGCACTTTAAAAGGTCACTAATGCACTCAGCCTGCTGAAGGGGAAAAAGGCATGTTGGATGTTTGTTTGTGCTTTTTTATCTCTCTTTACAGTGAGTTCTCTGGAGATGCGGCACTACAACATGTGAGGATAACATGGTGTTTTCAGTGTGAGGGAGGAGGAGATGGAGAAAGTGAGAAACATTTACCGCATTGCATCCTGTCTGTTTCTGCCTGCAGCATGCAAGGGCCAACAAAGGCCGTGATTAGACATTTACGAAGAACTAAAGTACGAGGGGAGAAGAGCACGAGACAGCAGTTGTGGCGAGTTAAAGTCAGAGAATGGAATGAGGGTCAGGGGTGTCTGAAGTTCTGTGAGTCAACTTTCATTGTGTTATGGCCAGGAATATGTTGTTGCAGTGTTAAACAAGTGTATACAAGGCAGTGGAGCGTCAAGGTGGGGTCACCGTGTCACACAGTCTGAGGGCTGGCCTGCAGATAAGAGCCTGGGCAACTCAGCTCAGCCAGCTCCCGCGGCACAGGGAGTGACTGCAGAGTACACCTGGCCTGGCAGCTTCAGACCATCCAGGGACAACTGGGAAAGGCTTCCTCCTCGGCCGCAACCCAAACTGACAAAGGGAATCATGCGCGGTGGTAGGAGCAAACAGAGCGAGGTTGACAGTGTTAATGTGTGACTGCGCTATCATGCAAAGGTTTCCGTGTGTATGTTTATGCTTGTGTGTGTGTGTGTGTGCGCGCGCACGTATAGTAGATGCTCTGGGGCGGCAGGAGGAGGCCTACTGGTCTACTAACAGTTGTCTGTTTTCCTAACCTTTGTGTTTGTCTTACTAGGTTAAACGCAGGGCACAGTAAAGAGAAAAGGAAATAGGTGAAAAGAAATAAAGTGAGAGAAAAAGGTCAGGCTTGAACATAGAAAGACAATGATAGTGCTAGAGTGCATGCAGGTCAGAATTCTAAGTCACTGTAGATTGAAACCTTTTGTAAACCTTAACTGACTGCCAAAGTTGTCTTGAGCAAAGCCCCTTCTGTCCAAGGCGTGCTGCTATGAAACCCTGCTGTTAAAATGCTTAAAAATATGAAATATAACCATTAAGATCACATTAAATAACACCTTAGTTTAGTTAGCATAACAAATGAGAGACCTGCCTTTTGGCCTTCACTCAACTTCACCGTCTTATTGAGTGAATTTTTCTTGAAATTTGCAGCAGAATACAAAACCAGACCAGACATGCGGTCCATCAAAATATAAAATATATAAAGATACACACACACATATACACACACACACACACATTAAAACCAACCATGGCTGCTGGACAAATCATTACTCAATAGAATAGAATAGTATTACTCTATACAGCGGTAAATTGAGATTTTAAACATTTCATCATTTTGTATCATCAGTGACAATGCTAATTTTCTGCTACAAAAAATGTGACACATTGCATTGTGGGATTGTAGCAGTGTAAATGCTGCTTAATTGTTTTCACTGCACTAAATAACGTATAAAATTCACACTCCAATAAAACAGCACAAAGTAAATATAGTGCACTATATAGTAACCAGGAAGTGATTTGGGGCACCACGTACGTTTTGTTGTCTGCAGGGGGCGGGGCTTGTAGAACAGCATCCCATTAGCAGCATTAGGCAGCTGGGCCCAGTTTCTCTCATGACGATATACAGGTGATACAACTGAGAAGTCACCTTGCTCCTTTCTCAAGTGGCAAATAAGCAAACATTCAACATCTGCCAGGTGTATTCACAGGAAAAACACTGCTAAAATGTTGAGGAGCAACTGAGGTTTGATAGACTGCCACAGCAAATGGATCACCCCAAACTTAGTGTTACAATTCTGTCCTTCTATTGCAGGAATTTGTCAGAGTAGTAAAATGAGTAAAATATTCTTTTTGGAATACTCCACCCTTTGTCTTGCAACTGTTCTCTGACTTTTTACTGTCCAACTTCTGTCTGGAAAGTTTTTTCTGCCTACCACTGACTGTCTTGCACGTCATCTGGATCATTATCAATTTATCTTTTTCCAAATTAAGTTGAGTTTTTTCCCCTCGTTGCATCCATGGTGAGTTTATTATGTCACACAGTGGTGGGACTGCATGAAAAAGTAACGTCAACCCATAACTTAACTTTGTGTAAGACCGTGTCAGCATTCAGTCCAGTGGATAATCTCCTCACTGCACACACTCCGGTTTCTTGTTATTTTTGGCACTGCTAAGACCACAGCACATTCTCACATATGCACACACAGTGCATATTTCATATATTGTGCATATTATTTTATATTTTTATGCGGAATATGTAGAGTCTCTCTATCTATATGTCACTCTCTAACCCACTGATTTTACAGATTTGAGCCGAACAGCTTTATTATTCTTTATTCTAAGAGCCGAACATTGACAGGGCGAGACCCACTGTTTCCATGTTGCTCCCTTTTGCAAAGTAGATCCTTAAACAGGAGATCAATTTAGCTTTTTGCTCCTTTACTTCTTTCACCATCTGTGTTTGCAAGAAGCTTTGACAGCTTCAAGTCAATTTGTGTTGAAGAGCAGACACTTCCGACTTTGTGCCAGTTTCTGTAAACCAGGATATTTCAAACAAAATCTGACCTGGTGTCAAACACTAAAACGCAGCTGGTAAATGCTTCCTGTCAGTGATGGTCCTCTTTTTAGTAATTATGTCTTCAAAATTACAGTGGAAACGATTTACAAACCATTAAACAAGGCTCGAACATTCTCATTGCCACCAGCGTGATTAGATGGAGGAGGGAAATGGAGAGAATGATACAGAGAGGGGTGACTGGCTCCCTTAACGGGGTAGTAGTGCGGACCAACGTAGCAGCCAGTGTCACATCCCATTCCTGCCAGGTCTGAGGAATGTCCACTCCTTGACACTTGTCCAATCCAAGCTATCTCAAGCTTTCTCCTCCAGCTTTACGCCAGCTAATCTCTCCTGACACCTCACACAGCCGCGACAGGGAATCACTCTACCCTGAAAACAATCCAGCCCTCCTCCCTCCCCACCCCAAATCTGTACCGGCCCCCCTCTCCTTCTGTCTGTCTTCCTTATATTTCTCTTTACCCTCTCCCTCCCTATCTATCCCTTCCCCATTACTTCTCTCTGTGGCCTACTCTTTCTCTCGTGTCTCCATCTGTCTTTGTCAAACCATATACTGCTCCTCTTCTATCTCGCTCAATCTTTCCTCCCCCTGTCTTTTCTCCTCCATTCTCACTTCCTCGCTGGGTATATCATGCCTCTGTTGATGAGAATCTGCGAAAAGACGCTGTGATTGCCGATTGAGGAATAGCCTGCATTTCCTTAAGGAGTCATCAGCATTCAAGAACTGCATTTTACTCCACCGGTGGATGTTGCTAAAGTTGGAGGGTCTTTATCTCGCAGCGCACTTTTACAGATGGAGAGAAGCTCACAGGATCGCTTCAGGATGGGACGGAGGAAACATAAACACAGACATCTTTCCCTCGACACTCATCACCCTAAATATACTTTAATTTTTGGAGAGAAAAGAGAGATGAGGGACTTGCTGATAGGATCTTTTTTAATGTTTGCACTGACAGGCCATTGTTGAAATTCTTAGTTTAAACAGAACAAGAAACACACATTTCCAGTCATGTTTGCACCGCAGTTAGTTAGTCTCATAGAGCAAATGAGATCCTTTACAGATCATTTTCCCTAATTAGCGTATTTGGGATACAAGAATTCTCGTGAGACAAGTCACTCAAAAAATCCCATTTATTATTTAAATGTATTCAACAATTCCAAAAGATAAGATAGACAAACATGTCATAGATTTAATTTACAAGCTGTTTGTTCTTCTCATCATATCTATAGAGGCTCCCCACCCTACAGAGCACAATCTCATTGGCTGCTGAGTAAAATATCTGTCATTGGCTGTAGCACAGAATAACTCTGAAAAAGAACGATGTAGCTATGGCACGGCACATGCTAAATGCAGACACTCACTGTGCACAGACACATACATACTCGCACGTACAAACACGCACACACACACAAACGTGCAGTCATAATAGACCAAGTCACTCACCCAATCAATTTCATTTTCAAGCAAGCTGTCAGGCCGCCATGTTGAGTAAATATTACCATAATGCCTGTGTGTCAGTGAATATGCAGCTAATGAACGGATGACATCCAGTGACGCTCAGAGACACTGAAACAGAAAAATTGCCCACTCACAGTTACTGTGCCTGAACCCTCCCCTCTACCTCCCCACCATCTTGCTCTCTTCTTACTCTTTCACTCTCCATCTTTGTGACTTTCTCTCCCTCGCCCTCTTCTTTAGATGCCGCGCAGAAGGCTAGGAGGTCAGCACAGCAAAGAAGAAGAAAGAGCGGGCGCGCTCTTGAACTAGGTTACTTCGGAATCTGAAGATTTTGCTTCAACACATGACTGGTTGTGTCGAGTAGACCAAGCATCTACATAAAACAAAGACAATTTGAACTCTACTTTTAATCCAAACAGCAGCAGGACATTGTGTGTGTGCGGACAGCGTGAGGTGCTTTGTGGAAAGGGTATTGTCTATATGAGATGTTTCCTTTTTCAGATACATTGGAAAGTACATTGCAGAATGTATAATTCTCCACATGAACAATATATAGTTACCTTGCTGTACCCAGTGATGAAGAAACACACCCACTGCCATGAAATACTGTCTTGATTTAAAGAATTATTTTCCAGCTGTTAGATCTCTGAGCTGCATCACAAATAACATCTCACAAATCCGTTCTCTCAGTCTAACAGAATATTTTCACAAGGGACAAATATATTATTTTTTTAAATCTCATTTGTGTAGAATATTATGCATGTCTACAAAATTAAAACACAATCTAAGGAAAATTGCACGGAACAACACTACGAGTTTCAGTCAATTGAGTCCACTGACAGTACAGCTGACTGTTGCCGCTGTGGAGAGAGGAGGTGAGATCATCCACTTTTGCAGGGTTTTCATTGTTCTTGATACTTCTGTGCAATGGAGCAGGTCTGAAGAGGAGAGACACTGAAAGCGAGGAGCTTCTGACACTTCGGCATCCTGACGAGGAGTGCAGAAAAACCAGCCCATCTCCACCCTATATCCCACTCCTCCCATGCCTCCTGCCCAGCCCCTCTCAGTGTGTCCTCAGGAGCTTTGCATCCAGGCTCTGCTACAGAGCCTGGATGTCTCTTTGCTGATGGATATGAAGCAGAGGTGTCCGTGATGATGGAGAGAATTAGGAAAACTAGAAAGCATTCCAGCTTTTAACACACACACACACACCACCCCCCTGGTATACAACTCTTTCTCTCAATTTCTTTCTGTCTGACTGTCTTTGTGTCTGTCTGTTCTCAGTCTGCGTAGAGGATGAAGCCAGAGAAGGTGCTGTACTTGTTGTTGTTGCCTCCATGGGCTTTGCCTCCGTCCAGTTTGATGTATACCTCGTCCCCTGCGTCCAGATGGAGGATGACGCTGTTGGAGGCATAGTCATAGTTCTGGTCAGCGTCTTGGGCAATGGCGCTGGCACGAACCTGGAAGAACAGGGACAGACAAACATGTAGGCGAACGGGCAGGGTGGTTAGCTACAGAATATGTTAGGACAGCAGCTTAATTCATATAATAAATTCCCCAAATAGGTTGTCATTCTCTCATACTACTTCAGACACTGTATTCACTGTTCCCAGTCTCCATTACTGTAAATAAAAGTATTTAGAGCTTGAAAACAACATCAAGGCTGCACAATCTGTACATTCTGTTACATATAAAGGTAACAAATTGTTACATATATGACCCACAGTTTTTAATGAGAAAATAGGGCATTTTTGAATATGTTCACTATCCTACAATGATAAGAAAAAAATCTTTAAAAAAAACCTGGAGCCATGCTGGCAATCTAATCTCTTTTTTATTGATTTTATGACATTAATAATGTTTTGAGATATTCTGCTTATTAAGTAGTGAACAAACAAATAAGACCAGAATCAACTAACCAAACATAAAAACTATACCTCTGACATTAACATTTGGCAGAGGTAATGAACCAAAGACCAAAAAGTGTCACTGAAAAATCTTGTGCTGCTACAACACAAGAGAATAACAAGAGAAAAACTAAGTTTGTTGCACAGAAGGAGAATGTATCAGGTAGGGAATACCAAAATGAAAACTCCTGAAATACTAAATCTCACAAAGTTTTTCATTTTGAAGTTAAATGAATTACTGGACACAACAATGGCACAAATAGTTCTTCATATTGATATTAAACCTACAGGACCAACCAGAGGGTCAGTCACCTCAGGCCTTTCTGTCAAACAGATTTATGGTTTCAATCAAGCCAGTAGTCGTCCACAGAAGACCTAACATTCAACCTTGAAACAAAAGGTCCACAAAAAGAGAAAGTCTCGGAAACACTCAGCAACAGGGCAGGCTCTGGGGGCTACTCATTGTGGAGGAAATGCAATAAAACATCGAGGACGCCCACTGAATATGTGCAGATGTATTTGATAACTCATGGCGAGAAATGACAAAAATCATTGGAATGAGTTTGCACAATATATAAGATTTTTCTTTTATACCGTGCAAACTTATTCCAGGAATTTTTATCTGTGTTTGCCTTTGCCTGATTGTGTGTATTTGTGTGTGTGTGTGTGTCTATATTCTGCCAGTCTGGCTATAGGACATTTGGAATAGTTTCTAAATAACCTGTCCTGGCTAATTAAGACCTCCACCACAAACATGCTCAGTCTCTCCGGGGAGGAAAGTGTAGCTGCAGTGCCAAATGGGCACTGAAACAATAGTTGTGTTTTCAAGCATGAGTGTGTGTGTGTGTGTGTGTGTGTGTGTGTGTGTGCGTGGTGTGTGTGTGTGTGTGTGTGTGTGTGTTTGTGTGACAGAGGACACTAATTTCCATCTTATCAGTAGAAAGAAATATATACAATGCTCTTATCTGAAGTTGCAATTTTAAGACGGTAACTGTTTGTAAATAAAGCTTTTCTTGTCAAATACAGTCGAAAAAAATCTATGTCAGTGAATAGAGGTTAGGAAATCAGCAGTGACATACAATGAAGTCATAAGACTGGATGTTGCCAGCATACAGTGTGTGCTTATTGTCTGATGACCAACATGCCTCAATTAAATTGATTGCCAACAGTCCCATAAAGTATTCATACGTGCAGTCTGTAAGTATTTGAATACCCTGATGTGGTATTGCACTCCTGTAAAAATCTAAATAACCAGCAGAACCAGATATATCTTTAAGAATATTCTGTTTTGACATTCCCTTGTCAAATTTGATGCCTACATTACACACAAGCAATTCATCCACCAACAGTTTGGTTTGGGAGATTTGGGGTGTGTATAAAAGTGGCTAATGGTAGCTTTTGAGCGACAGAGCTTAAGCAGAGATAAGGAGCAGGCTACACGGGTCCAGTAGCTTCACTTTTTTCGCGCAGCTACCTCCACAAAAGGCTTATACATATTTTCACATGCAGTAGTAATATCAAGATGTTGGTAATCAACTTTGATGTGTACAAAATTGAGCTTTAAAGCTGTAACAAGGGTGTTCACAATGGGTGGAACAGTACGTCCAGGTATGTAACATTTTTTAGGGAGGTTTATTGGCAGAAATCAATAATATCCATAGGCATGTTCTCAATAAGTGTATAATCACTTCTTCTTATGTAGGCTGCCATGTATCTAAGTAACCAGATGGAACAAACACTGCTATAGATAGAGCCCTTTTTGTGTTTTTTTATGGCCACCGTAGTTTCTCCTACACATTTAGAAGGCTGAAGCTGTAAATTCAAATGTTGAAATCTGAACTTCATCGCTAGATGCCACGGAATCCTATACAACCTTTTAAGACCTGCTTTAGGATAATGCCTAAACTACGACAAACCAAGGGGTTTTACAGCCAGTGTTTTACTTCCGGATCAGTACTTGATCTAAACTCCAATTCACTCACTCATTGTACTAAAAGGCAAAAAGACCCACACACACAAGACTGCAATTGCTGCAGAAAGTCTCACCAGACATCTAACCGGGTCTGTGGGGTTATGCATCATAAAGGTGCCGATAGTATGACTGTAACCCACCGAAGCTTCGAGTTGAACATTGTCCTCATTCACCTCAACTTCAACCTAAAATAACTATCACAACGCGCTCTCTACATTCTCAGCTTGTTCGCCAATATGGAATGTAAATTAAAAACTGAAAGTTGGTGGCTCTTATTCAACTAACCATAGTTTCACTTTGGTCACTTGTGCCTGGACAATAAACCAGGTGCCAACTCTCAAATGCTTAACAGTCTGTCTGTTCTTCACATCTTCTCTCACACATCGCGTCTACTACAAGGTGTCCAGTCGTAACTTAAATAGACACAGAATCGAACAACAAGACTCCTTCATTATTTTTCTTTGAGATGAAAAAGGAAGTACTGTAACATCCTTTAAAAGTAGCCGCTGGTTACACCTCAGCAATTAGTCACTTCCAGTCTGGTCAGCTGAGGTTGAATCAAATCCTATATTCTTTACGCTGCAATTTGAAGTGTCTTCTTGTGCGCTCATTATCCGGTCTTCCAAAGTGCACCCTGGCCCTTGCCTCTCCGCGCTTGGTGTTTTTCCACACAGCCTTTAAATCGGGGCTATTTCCAGGCGGGTGTCGACCAAGCCTGGCCCAACAGGCGCAAAGGGTTCCCCAATAATTACGTTGCCTATTCTTCACGGATACAACAGCATATTCGCAACAATGTTGAGCGCGCACGCGCCAGCTAATGACAGAGAATTCCCGCACAGAGGCATCACCGTCGCCAAACTAACTGGGAGCCTGGAACAGATTCTCTTGACCATTTAGATATATTAAACACATACATAAATTATTTAAAATAAAATTTTTTATATAATTCTCACACCTTCATGATTTAACGATTTAACTTTAATGAATCCAGTGCTTTAATTGTATTTTTGATTGTTTGCTTTTTTTCTCATTTTGGTGCCTATTATTTGTAACTAGTGTTCTACTCTCCTCAGTCACTGTGTTTAGCTGCTGTCGTCTTTTCTATGGACTTCCTGTTCCATAAGCAACGGTTTACTTAAAGGATGTTTAATAATTCCTCCTTTATTGTCTTTTCTGCTAAATAGACTCA